AGAGAAGAGAAGAGAGAGAGAAGAGAAGAGAAGAGAAGAGAGAATAGAGAATGCAATGGAATGGAATGGAATGGAATGGAATGGAATAGAATAGAATGGAATAGAATAGAATAGAATAGAATAGAATAGAATAGAATAGAAAATAGGATAGGATAAGTTAGGATGGGATAGAATAAAATAGAAAATATAGAATAGAATAGAATAGAATAGAATAGAATAGAGAATAGAATAGAATAGAAGAGAAGAGAAGAGAAGAGAAGAGAAGAGAAGAGAAGAGAAGAGAAGAGAAGAGAGAATAGAGAATGCAATGGAATGGAATGGAATGGAATGGAATGGAATAGAATAGAATGGAATAGAATAGAATAGAATAGAATAGAATAGAATAGAATAGAATAGAATAGAATAGAATAGAAAATAGGATAGGATAGGATAGGATAGAAAACATAACATGGAATGGAATGGAACGGAACGGAACAGAACGGAACGGAACAGAAAAGAACAGAACAGAACAGCTTTTATGTTGCAATCAAATGCAAGCGTTCTGATGGAGGAGGCGTTGGAGAGGCAGAATTGTTTGAAAGCGTATGTGTCAATTTCCCCCTTCCTGGATCCCACTCGGGTCTGGTTGTGTGTGAGTGTTTTGTTTTCAGAAAGCAGAAATTGGGGGGTGGGGGGGGGGAGCCGAGTGTGTGATCCCGAATGGCCCCACCTGCTCTTTGAAAAAAAAAAAAAAGCACAAGCAAAAGAGAGCCGTGGAGCATGGGGTGTGCGGTGGGCGGGTGTCAGGGAACAAGCTCATTTGTTGATCTTTTAATAAATTAAGGCTTTATGAGCGGCCTGGCCCAGTGCGGTAAGTATATTGTGGGTAGGAATCGCTCCTCGTGGGAAACGTTTGCGCAGAGTGCGCTCCGGTTTCCACACATGCCGGCCAGCCCCAGAAGTTGGCTTTGCTTTCCTTGGGTCCCCGGTGACCGTCCCGCGGAAGAGCCACGACCGGCGCACAGAGGCTTCGCTTATTATTTGTGAAAGGAAAATATTTTCAGAGAAGGAGAAATAGAGAGACTCCTGCGCTGAGGGCCCGGTTCCATGTTGGCCTCTGCCCAGATAAAATGCGAGAAAGAAAGAAAGAAAGAAAGAAAGAAAGAGAAAAAAAGAAAAGAAAGAAAGAAAGAAAGAAAGAAAGAGAGAGAGAGAGAGAGAAAGAAAAAGAAAGAAAAAGAAAGAAGAAAGAAAGAGAGAAAGAGAGAGAGAGGAGGGAGGGAGGAAAGAAGGAAGGGAGGGAAGAGGAAGGGAGGGAAGGAAGGGAAGGAGGCAGAGAGGAAGGAAGAAAAAGGAAAAGAGAGAGAGAGAGAGAGAGAGGAAGGAAGGAAGAAGGAAAGAGAAAGAATGAATGAAAGAAAGAAAGAAAGAAAGGGAAAGGAAGGGAAGGGAAGGAAAGGAAAGGAAAGGAAAGAAAGAGAGAAGAAGGGAAGGGAAGGGAAGGAAAGGAAAGGAAAGGAAGAGAGAAGAAGGAAAGGAAAAGAGAAGAAGGGAAGGAAAGGAAAGGAAAGGAAGAGAGGTGGAAAGGAAAGGAAGAGAGAAGGAAAGGAAAGCAAAGGAAGAGAGAAGAAGGAAAGGAAAGGAAAGGAAAGGAAAGGAAAGGAAAGGAAAGGAAAGGAAAGGAAAGGAAAGGAAAGGAAAGGAAAGGAAAGGAAAGGAGGCAGAGAGGAAGGAAGAGAAAGAAAAAGAGGAAGAGAAAGAAAGAGAGAGAGAGAGAAGGAAAAGAAGGAAGGAAGGGAAGGGAAGGGAAGGGAAAAGGAAAGAAAGAAAGAAAGAAAGAAAGAAAGAAGAAAGAAAGAAAGAAAGAAAGAGTTACTCAGCCTTTCTCCTCTTTCTACCTTCCCCAACTAACATGTTGAGAGTTCCTTCAGAGAGGTCTTCCTTCGTTCTATCAGCAGCTCCCCACCCCACCCCAAAAAACACAACATTGCTTGTTCAAATCCGAGGCCCGGAATTTCCGAGGCTGGAGCGAAGGTGAAAGAAGAGAGCAACAGGAAGGGTAGTACAAGTTTCCAACCAGCAAGACTCTGAAGTTGAGTCGGTCAAGCATTCCAAAAATTGAAGAGGTTGGCCGCCAAAGTTATGAGCAAGCCGCGAGAAGCTCTGAGCTACCTTTGTTCGCTGCAGGATGGAGAGAGCCGGTCAAGGGAGCCCATCCAAGTTCTGGAGGAAAAACACATTTGGATTGGGATGATCTGACTCAGGGGTGTCAAACTCGAATTTCATTGAGGGTCGCATCGGGGCTGTGGTCGACCTCGGGGAGGGGGGGCGCGTGCGGGTGTGGGCGACTGGGTGGGTGTGGCCAGCTTGATGCCACTCCCCAAACTGCTGGCCCGATCTTTCCTCTTCGCATTGGGTAGACCAGGACGGTCCCTTGGGCTGGATCCGGTGGTGGGATTCAGCCGGTTCGAGCCGGTTCTGTCGAACCGGTTGTTTAATTGCTAGCTGGCCCCGTCCCTCCTTGCCCCGCCTCTTCCAGGAGTCCCCAAGCACCCTGTTTTTGCTCCCAGGAGGCTTCAGGGAGACCTACTAGGCCCAACGGGACTGGGGGGCATGTTTTTGTTCTCGAAGGGGGGCGCAGGAGGCCAAGTGGCCACACCCACCATGGCCACGCCCACCCAGCTGGTCATTTGGGCAGAGAACCGGTTGTTAAATTATTTGAATCCCACCAGTGGCCTATTGGAATGACAAACAGGCACCCCACTGGTGACCTCTTTTGGTCCTCCTGAGTCTTTGGATTCTCCAAGCAGTGCGCTGGAGAATAGAAATAGAAATAGAAATAGAAATAGAAATAGAAATAGAAATAGAAATAGAATACAATAGAATTGAACAGAACAGAATTAGAGTAGAATACAATAGAATAGAATTAGAGTAGAGTAGAGTAGAGTAGAGTAGAGTAGAGTAGAGTAGAGTAGAGTAGAGTAGAGTAGAGTAGAGTAGAGTAGAGTAGAGTAGAGTAGAGTAGAGTAGAGTAGAGTAGAGTAGAGTAGAATAGGGCTTTATTTGGCCAAGTGTGATTGGACACACAAGGAATTTGTCTCCGGTGCGGAAGCTATCAGCGGACATACAAGCAGCAAATGATGGATCATGTTCATAATCATAAATTACCGTCGTCATAAATCACACGATCCAGCGCTCAGCGATAGACATAGGGGGACTCAATAAGCAATCAACCCCAATCATAATAGGATGCTCAACAAAAGGTATCCACTACATCACTCATCAGATAACAAACCATCATGTCACGGTCATCAGAAGCCAAGAAAAAAAGCTAATAGGAAAGATGTGAAAGGATAACAGCCATGCAGCCTTCATCCGCGGTTCGACTCCCCAGGGCATAAGACAGTGTCGTAGGAGGGAATTAGTTGTTTAGCAGAGTGATGGCGTGTGCGAGAGGTCTCTTTTCAACTAGGTTGACTCAAGGTTGACTCAGCCTTCCATCCTTTCTAAGGTGGGTAAATTGAGGACCCAGTTTGTGGGGGCAATAAGCTGACTTTGTATAAAATATACGAATGTATGAAGGCTATTGCTTAACGCATTGTAAGCCGCCCTGAGTCTCCGGAGAAGGGCGGCATATAAATCAAATTAAAAAAAAAAAAAACTATGAAAAATCGTTGTGTTTCAGTGCATACGGAGATAGGCGAATCTGAAATAATCTCTCAAATTGAATCCCATCAAAGCTTTCTTCCTCCTTTTAAAGGTAAAGGTAAAGGTTCCCCTCGGACATATGTGCTAGTCGTTCCCGACTCTAGGGGGCGGTGATCATCTCCGTTTCAAAGCCGAAGAGCCAGCGCTGTCCGAAGACGTCTCCGTGGTCATGTGGCCGGCGTGACTCAACGCCAAAGGCGCACGGAACGCTGTTCCTTCCCACCAAAGGTGGTCCCTATTTTTTTCTACTTGCATTTGTTTTTTTACGTGCTTTCGAACTGCTAGGTTGGCAGAAGCCGGGACAAGTCACGGGAGCTCACCCCGTTAGGCTGCACTCGGGATTTGAACCGTTGAACTGCCGACCTTTCAATCGAGAAGCTCAGCATCTTAAGCCACTGAGCCAAGCAAACCTTGGAAGGAGCCGAGATGGCTTTGAATTCTGCCCACAACAGGAAGACAACAAAAATTCACCGCGTTCCGCTTAATTGCCTCTCTCTTCCAAAGTGCCGAGCCTCCCCCCCACCTCCCCGCAAAAGAGGGGGGGGTTGTACAATGCACTCAAACCTTCCTAGGGAAGTGGCCTTCCTGGACTCGGCAGGGCTGTTGTTCCTCCACCGACATAAACAGCAGGGACACATCAGAGGGGAAGAGGTTCAAATCCTGACCGAAAATAAGGAGGAATCAATAGATGGAAGACACCGAGGGCTGTTCTACATGGCGGCAAAGAAGTGACGTCGACTTGGCCACGCCCACCCTGTCACATGACCGCCTAGTCACATGATAGTCCAGTCACATGACCAACAAGCCATGCCCACCCAGCCACATGCCCGCCGAGTCACATGACAACTAAGCCACGCCCAGCCAGTCACATGGCCACCCAGTCACGTGAACAGGCCACACCTACCCAGTCACATGGCCACCCGGTCACAGGACCACCCAGTCACATGACCACCAAGCCGCACCCACCCAGTCACATGACCACCAAGCCACGCCCGCCCAGCCACATGCCCAACGACGCCCGCCCAGTCACATGACTACTCAGTCACATGACCAACAGGCCACACCCGCCGTCACATGACTACTCAGTCACATGACCAAGAGGCCACACCCGCCGTCACATGGAACCCAGTCACACGACCAACAGGCCACACCCACCGTCACATGGCACCCAGTCACATGACCAACAGGCCACACCCACCGTCACATGGCACCCAGTCACATGACCAACAGGCCACACCCACCCAGCCACACCCCCAGAGCCAGTAGTAAAAAGTTTTGAATCCCACCTGCGGGGAAGGAGAGGAAGCTCTTACCTCCCATCCGAAATTCGTTTCCTTCAACGTGGTCCTGGGGAAAGTCACGTAGGGCCCAAACCTCTCTCCGGCTTCCAGCTTCTTTTTGGTCCAGATCCCCAACCCTGCTCCGGGAACGGAGGATTCCCTCAGTTCGAAGTCGGACGGGATGGGAATATCGTCGGGAATGTAGACGGGGGCCTCGTACGGAGAGCCCTCTTTGGGGTGGAAGTCCTCGCCCGCGGGGAAAGGGGAGGGGGGCCCGATGGGTATGGGAGACATGATGCTGTCCTCCGTCTCCTCTTCTGCGCTTTCGCCGGCCAGGAGCTCTGCCTCGGTTTCGTACATGTTATTCACGATTTCGTGGTCGCCTGTGGAAAGAAAATGGAAAAAAAAATCAATCAATCCATGACGAAGGTCTCCTAAGGAGAACGGTTGAGGTTCTTCATACAGGTTCAGAGAATCACAGCTTGATAAGAAGGGACCTCCAGAGACGTCTAGTCCAGGGGTGTCAAACTCGGTTTAATTGAGGGCCGCATCAGGGTTGGGTTCGACCTTGGAGGGCCAGAGGGGGGGCATGGCCATGATGGACATGGCATGGGACTCGTATCAGGGACACCTTCCTTCCTTCCTTCCTTCCTTCCTTCCTTCCTTCCTTCCTTCCTTCCTTGGGACCGGTTTTTTTCACACTTAACAATCATTGTGTGGTCAAGTGGTCAAAAATTCAGACGCTTGGCACTCGTATTTGTGACGGTCGCAGTAGTCCGGGGGGGGGGGTTTCATGTGATTCCCCTTTTGCGACCTTCCAACAAGCAAAGTCAAGGGGGAAGCTGGATTCGCTTAACGACCACTTAACAATTGCCGTGATTCCACTCAAGCACAGTTGGCAAGAAAGATTTTTGAATTGGGACAAAACTCACTGAGCAAATGTTTCACTTAGCGACGTAAATGTTGGGCTCCTTTGCGGTCGTAAGTCGAGGACTGCTATAGTGTGGGTTTGAGTCCTACCGGGACCCACTCGTGCCAATCCTGGCTAGGAAGTGGAAGTGGCCTTCCTGGGAAATTGTGCCTGTTTTCTCTTTTTAAACCAGCCCTGTTGGTTTAATCCAAAATTTGGGGTCTGGATTGTTAAGAGAATAGGTTGTTAAGGAGAACAGACCATCCTTTAAGTCCAACGCAACCAGTTTTTCCTCGAATGCGCCAACACAGCTCACGCACCCCTCCCTCTGGGCCTCTCACACGCTTAAAAGTGGCTTCACAAAGCATCGTCCGAATTTAGACGATGAAAATGGGTTTTTTGGTTTTCGGAGGAGAGGAGAGAGAGAGAAAGAGGGAGAGGGAGAGAGAAAGAGGGAGGAAGAGAGAAAAAGAATGAGAGAGAGAAAGAGGGGGAGAAAGGGGGAGAGAGAGAGAAAGAGAGAGAAAGAGGGAGAGAAAGAGGGAGAGGGAGAGAGAAAGAGGGGGAGGGGGAGAGAAAGGGGGAGAGAGAAAAACAATGAGAGAGAGAGGGAAATAGAGAGAGAGAAAGAAGGAGAGAGAAAGAGGGAGAGATAGGGGAGAGAGAGAAAGAGAGAAAGAGGGAGAGAGAGAGAGAGAAAGAGAAAAAGAGGGAGGAAGAGAGAAAAAGAATGAGAGAGAGAAAGAGGGAGAGAGAGAAAGAGGAGAGAGAGAAAGAAGGAGAGAGAAAGAGGGAGAGATGGGGGAGAGAGAGAAAGAGAGAAAGAGGGGGAGAGAGAGAGAGAAAGAGAAAAAGAGGGAGGAAGAGAGAAAAAGAATGAGAGAGAGAAAGGGCGAGAGAGGGCGAGAGAGAGAGAAAGAAGGAGAAAGAGAGAGAGATAGGGGAAGAGAGAGAGAAAGAGAGAGAAAGAGGGAGAGAAAGAGGGAGAGGGAGAGAGAAAGAGGGGGAGGGGGAAATAGAGAGAGAGAGAGAGAAAGAGAGAGAAAGAGGGAGAGAGAGAAAGAAGGAGAGAGAAAGAGGGAGAGATGGGGGAGAGAGAGAGAGAGAGAGAGAAAGAGGGAGGGAGGAATGCAATCATAACCCATTTGCAAAACAGAGCAAAACAGGGCATTTTTCACGCTCCTTTCTCCGTTTCAGCGGCGAAAGCAACCTCCCCACTTCCATTTTTTCTTTTTTAAGAAAAAAAGTCACGTAGCTCTAAAACACTTATTTAATTTAGGCGCATTCAGAGGGATAATTATGAGGTTAGAAGTGGGCGGAAGGTTATCTGGGTTTTGACTTCCACCGGTGGGTGCTTTTTGGGGGGGTGGGGGGGGGCTTTTCAGGGGCTGGGGGTAGAGTTTGGGAGCAGAGCAGGGAGGGAGGTCGCCAGTGAAAACCCTCCCAGGAGGGGAAAAAATCTTTCTCTCTATACATATATATATATATATATAAATGGGACAGAGGCAAAACAAAAGGGGGAAAATGGCAAGGGGCAAATAATGAGCCGAATTAGTCCAAGTCGGTGACCGCATCAAGTTAGCGGTAATTGGCATGTGCCCCTGTAAGTTGTGGCAGGGCCACAGCAGTGTCCAACGGGACGGACGGAGGTTTACGTTGGTCCTTTATTGTGAGTTATTTTATTTTATTTTATTTTTTGAACGCTTGCACAGACGCACACATGCCCATGCAGAGCTGGGCTAAATAGCTTTTGAATCTCAGAAAGCCAGCCCCCTCCCCAGCCTCCCAAACAATTAGGAAATTAGCCGTGATTATTGTAGCAAGGCTGCAAATGGCTGCATGGCAAAGGAAGGTCATTTCCTTTGAGAGGTTTGGTTAGTGCCCCTTTCTGCTTTTTTTGGGGGGGTGGGTGGGGGTGGGGTGGGGGGTGGAAGGGAATTCGTAAAGGCAAAAATTAGCAACCTGTCCCGACAAGGCTGTGAAGTTGGTGGGTATCTTTGTTGTTAAAATGAGGGGGGAGGGAGGGAGGGAGGGAGGGAGGAAGAGGAAGCAGAAGTGGGAAAGAGGAAGGGGAAGAAGGAGAAAGAGGAGGAGGAGGAAGGAGAAGGAAAGGAAGAGGAGGAGGGAAAGAGGAGGAGGAGGAGAAGAAGGTGAAGAGGAGGAGGAGGAGGAAGAGGAGGGGAGGAAAAGGGGGGGAAGAGGAAAGGAAGAAGAGGAGGAGGAGAAGGAGAGAAGGAGAAGGAGAAGAAAATGAAGAAGAGGAGGAAGAGGAGGAGGAGGAGGGGAAGAGGATGAGAGGGGGAGAAGGAGGAAGAGGAAGGAAAGAGAAGGAGGAGGGGAAGTGGAAGAGAGGAGGAGGAAGAAGGAGGAAGGAGAGAAGGAGGAGAATATGAAGAGGAGGAGAAGAAAGAGGAAGAGGAAAGGAAGAAGAGGGGACGTGGAAGAGAGGGGGAAGAGGACAGGGAGGGGAAGAGAGGAGGAGGAAGAAGGGGGAAGGAGAAGGAGAGAAGGAGGAGAAGGTGAAGAGGAGGAGAGGAAAGAGGAAGAGGAAAGGAAGAGGAGGGGAGGAGAAGGAGAAGAAGGTGAAGAGGAGGAGGAAGAGGAGGAGGGGAAGAGGAGGAGGGGGAGGAAGAGGAAGAGGAAGGAAAGAGAAGGAGGAGGGGAAGTGGAAGAGAGGAGGAGGAAGAAAGGGGAAGGAGAAGGAGAGAAGGAGGAGAAGGTGAAGAGGAGGAGAGGAGAAGAGGACGAGGAAAGGAAGAGGAGGGGGAGGAGAAGGAGAAGAAGTGAAGAGGAGGAGGAAAAGGAAGAGGAAGGAAAGAGAAGGAGGAGGGGAAGTGGAAGAGAAGGGGAGGGGAGGGGAAGTGGAAGAGAGGAGGAGGAAGAAGGGGGAAGGAGAAAGAGAGAAGGAGGAGAAGGTGAAGAGGAGGAGAAGAAAGAGCAAGAGGAAAGGAAGAGGAGGAGGAGAGGGGAGGAGGAGGAGGAAGGAGAAGGAGAAGAAGAGGAGGGGAAGGTAAACAAGGTGAACAGGAGGAGGAGAAGGAGGAGGAGGAGGAGAAAGTCGGTGTTCATCAGAGTACCTGCTTTGGGGGAAGAGGAGGAGAAAGAGAGAAGGGAGGGGAGCAATTCTGCTTACACAAACATCCCCCCAGAAACAGGCTTTTCAGAGGCATTAATACGCCATAATCCCGAAAATACTTGTGGTTGCAATAAATGTTTGTCCTCTGGGTATTAGCAAGTCAAATGATTTCCCACTCGGGCGATTAGCCTCTTTGGAGGCTGAAGGGAGCAGGGATTCCAGCCGGGCGGAGAAGGAGGAAGGCTGGCTGGCGGAAAAAGAACCCCGGCCCTCCGAGAGGAACTTGACACGGGGGGGGGGGGCTGCACCCCCCCTTCCAAACGGCCCTGGTTTTGGAGGGGTGGGAGTGGGCTTCCTCAAGCTTCAAGAAAGTGCATAACCTGCTTTAAAAAAAAAAACAATGTTTTCCTTCGAAGGAGTTTCTGTGAATGGTGGAGGGAGCTTGGGGTCCCAAGTTGAATGAAAAAGAAGGACTGGGGGGGTGGGGACATGATAGTAATATTTGAGGAGCTGTCACAGAGAGGAGGGGGTCCGCCTATTCTCCAAAGAATCGGAAGGTAGGAGGAGGAGGGGG